ACTCCGGGCACTTACACATTCAAGCACACACATTCAGACACGCACACATACACACACACACACACACACACACAAACATTCAAACACATACACGCACGTTTAAACATATACACCCAAACACACCCACACATTCAAACATACATACATTTAAACGCACACACATTCCAACAGATACATACATTCACACACATACATACATACAAAAACACACACACATTGAGACGCTTGCACATTCAAACACACACATTCAAGCACACACACACACACACACACAGCGTCCCGACAATATGCCTTTTGTATAAACTGTTGCAGCACAAAACGCATAAAAGCCTAAAAAAAATCATTCGCTACTTAAAAAAGGGATGCGTTGAAATTCCTCCGTTCCCTTCTCCCCCGTTCATAAAACCAATCTACCTACTGCTCCAATTCCTTAGTGGCTACGATACTGCCTCTCTGCATTTTTGATCGTCATTTCAGTCGTCAAAATTTCTTCCATTCGATAAATTCAAAAAAAAAAAAAAGGAATCTCAATAGATCCACTCTCTTTAACCTCACCTGCTTCAGCATGCCAAAATGCGCTGAAGGCTGCCCATTCTTATCCTGCTGGCGATGACAATTACCGTTTTTATCGGTGCTTCTCATATTTCAGGTTTAGTTAAATGGGAGCTTTACTGACAGTGGCCAAAAATTAAGGAAAGGACAATCGAAAACCTCCATCTTCACACTTCATCCCAATCGTTCCACCTGTGTATAGCACTAGAACTCGCGTTTCCTGCCCGATAACAGTGTCCAGAGATATTTGCGTTCGCATTGTCTTGATATCTTCCGACACCTGATTTGCAAGTTCCTAAAAATATAAACCAGTGCGCGAATTTTGAACAGTGGTCTACATTCCAGTGACAGAAAAAAAATTGCAGGACGGGATGACATAATCGCTGTTCGACCTGGGTCCTATAACAGTTCTGAAGTGTTGGTAGATTTGTGGTTTTGAAATCGAGTGAAGCTTACATGCTTATAGAAAAATTAATCCCTAATTGTTGACATTGGCAAACATACAGTTGCAGAGATAGGTTTTGTGGAAGCGCTTGTGAAACACAAAAGTTTTTTCCGTGACTCCTTCTCATCAGCCACTTGCACTTCATCTTTATCGCGCTCCACCTTCTCTCTATCAGGTACCATCGTCCTGAAACATACTATTTGGCAGAAGCATAAGCCCAGGCTGGAACGCACCAGGCTTGCGGTGCGATCATGCGCTTTGCAGTAAACTCTCAGACCTCCAATAGCAGGAATAATCTCCGCGCTGTAGCCTAACGTCTGGGCTTATATTGGCCGTAGTTTGGCCTCTTCCCACATGCAGAAGGGGTGTAGGTTGAGATCAAGGTGTTGCGCTATGGGGCCGTATGAACCTCAAGCTAAATGATTATAAGTTTTTCCATGAAGCCCGATAAATGCTCACTTTTTGAAGAAATGAAAAATGCAAA